CGTGCTCGTCGGTCGGCGTCGTGAAACCGGTCGTCTCGTTGGCGCCGGAGGCCGGCGAGGACTTCCAGGCGATGGCGGCAGCCGTGCAGGAAAACCCGGCGGTAGTTCTGCTCGATAGTGGTTGCTCCCACCACTTGATGGGAACGAAGGAGGTCTTCGTCGACCTACAGTCGAGCGGCGACGTCAAGCACGTGCGCGGCTTCAATGGGGCGCTGCAGGACGTCCAAGGCCGCGGCACTGTCGCTCTGCAAGGGGAGGCCGGGAGGCAGGTGCTCATCCCCGACGTGCTCTATGTCCCGGGCGTGCAAGCGAACCTGCTTTCGGCCGGTCAGTTGAAGGAGAACGGCGTGAAGCTGCAGGAGGACGGCGACGGGATGTTGCTGTCAAACTTATATGCTATAGTCCATCTAGGCTGTAGTGGGGTAGTTCATATAGGGTACAACACTTTTAGGTTTCCTACTTGTACCCACTTGCTTGCTAGTTCAGTCATTCATTCCTTCACCATTCTGACATGGTATTCTGAGCAGGTTCCCTCGTGGGAACGTTTTTTTTTAGGGCCCACCACGATTTTTTTTCCTGCCCTGCCCGAAGTGCGCCTTGCGCCTGTCTCACTTGCGCCGTCGCGCGCCCTGACCTAGTGCCGCCTGTCGCGGCCCTGCCTTCTCGGCCCGTCGCCGCACGTCGCCGGCCTGTCCCCGCCTATCGCCGGCCCGTCCCGGCCCGTCGCCGCCCGTCGCCGGCCCGTCGCCGCCCGTCGCTGGCCCGTCGCGACCCTGCCCGGCCCGTCGCCGCCCGTCGCTGGCCCGTCCCGGCCCGTCCCGGCCCATCGCCGGCTCGTCCCGGCCCGTCGCCGGCCCGTTGCCGCCCGTCGCTGGCCCTTTGCCGCTCGTCGCGGCCCTGCCTTCGCCGCCCACTGCGGCCCTGCCCTGCTGCCGCCCTGTCGTGGCCCTGCCCTGCTGCCACCCTGTCGCGGCCCTGCCCTGCAGCCGCCCTGTCGTGGCCCTGCCCTGCTGCCGCCCCTGTCGCGGCCCTGCCCTGCTGCCGCCCCTATCGCGGCCCTGCCCTGCAGCCGCCCTATCGCGGCCCTGCCCTGCTGCCGCCCCAGTCGCGGCCCTGCCTTCGCCGCCCACTACGGCCCTGCCCTGCTGCCGCCCCAGTCGCAGCCCTGACCTAACCGCCAGCTGCGGCCCCGCCTTGCACCTAGAAAGCACCCGCGCCGCCCTGCCGCGCCGCGCCGCCAGGAGCTTAGCCGCGCCGCCCAGCCGAGCCGCGCCGCCCTACCGAGCCGCGCCGCCCTGCCGAGCCGCACCGCCCTACCGAGCCGCACCGTCCTGCCGAGCCGCGCCGCCCTACTGAGCCGCACTGCCCTCCCTGCGCTGCTCCTGCTGCTACTGCTGCTTCTGCTGCCACTGCTGCTACTGCTGCTCCTGCTGCTCCTGCCGCTATGGCTAGCCCTACTGTTCTTACCTTTGAAGCTGAGGGGCGTGTGGTTGACTTTGACGTGTGGAATGACGACCTGCAGCTCTTTCTTCAGTGTGACTCTAGGGACGGGGTATCCCTTTTCGATCACACATCCGGTGTCTCTACTGCACTTGCTGCCACTGCTGATAGTACGGTTCGCTCGCAGTGGACCACTCGTGACGCTGTTGCTCGCCTTGCTGTTCGTAGTCACCTGCCGTCTGCTGAGCGCGCGCACTTTGGCCAGTACAAGATTGCTCAGTCTTTGTATGACGCTGTAGTAGCGCGCTACTCCTCCCCTGCCACTGCTGCCCTCAGCCGCCTCATGCTGCCATACCTGTTCCCTGACCTTGCCGCCTTTGCCACAGTCGCTGACCTCATTACTCACCTCCGCACTAGTGACGCCCGCTACCGCGCTGCGCTTCCCACTGATTTCTGTGCCAAGAACCCCCCCTTAATGTACATCACCCTTTACTACCTAGTCACCCGCCTCCCTAACTCGCTTGCTTCAGTCAGGGACCACTTTCTCTCCCTTTGCCCCACCGAGCTCACCGTCGACCTGCTAGAGGAGCGCCTCACTGCAGCTGAGAAGAGTATCTTAGCTGTAGGTGCTTCTCGCGGCGACCCTCGCGCCCCTTTCTTTGAGGGGTGTTCCCCTGTCCCCCTTCTCCCCTCCGTTGCTTCTGCTGCTGCTGTCGACCTCGTTGGCACTGAGGAGGTCGGGGCTGCGTCTGCTCCTAGTGGGAGGCGCTGCAACAGCAAGGGCAAAGGGGGCAAGGGTGGTGGAGGGGACGGTGGGGGAGGCGGTGGAGGAGGCGGAGGGGGTGGCGGTGGAGGTGGGGGTGGTGGCGGGAGTGGGGGCTTTGGTGGCGGCGGTGGGGGTGGTGGAGGCAGCGGCAGCGGCGGTGGAGGCAGCGGTAGCGGTGGTGGAGGTGTCCGCGGCAGTGGTGCTGGTCGAGGTGGAGCCACGCAGCGTGGAGGCTTTGGTGATAGCCAGCGCCAGCAGCAGCCGCGTTCCCGTGAGACCCCGTCGGCCCAGCAGCTTCGTGAGTGGTACACTGGGCGTGGGAGGTCTGGGGGTGTTGGTCCCTGCACTTACGTTTTTCGCACCGGCGGGCGCCATGGGGAGACGTGCGGGCTACCACACACTGTGTAGCGCTGTTTGGTCGCCTGACTGACGCCTGGCGAGCCCAGTTTCCTGACGCTGTTGAGCTCCCTCGCTGGGGTGATCTGCTTAAGCAGAATGTTGCTATCTTTGATCTTGATTTCGATGCTATCCTTGCTGCCATGTATGCTGTGACTGTTACCTGTGTGTTCCTCCCGACCCGGGCATTGAGGCTGCTGCTCTAGGTGCTAGTGAGTCTGCTGCTCCAAGTACTGGTGAGTCTGCTGCTCCAGGTGCTGGTGAGTCTGCTCTCTCTGGTACTGCACCTACTGAGGCCTTGCACACTTTCACACTTGACTCTGGTGCTTCGCGCTCTTTCTTTCGCGACAGCACCACACTTCCGCCGCTCAGTCGGCCTGTCGCAGTCTCCCTGGCTGACCCCTACGGGGGCCCAGTCCTTGCGCACTCCTCCACGGTTCTACCGTGTCCTGCGGCCCCGTCGGGCTTGCTGTCGGGACTCCACCTCCCCTCGTGCTCTACGAACTTGGTGAGTGGAGCTGACCTCCAGGACGCGTGGGTTGACCAGTTCACCCCTGGAGGTCAGCGTGTGACCCACTGCACTTGCTCTCGGACAGGCCGCCACCTGGCCACGTTCACCCGTCGGCGTGGGTCGAGTCTCTACACACTGACTACTGCGTCTCCTCCGGTTACTGCGTCTGGTCAGGTAGCCGCGTCTGGTCAGGTGTTTTCTGCCGCGTCCAGGTCTAGTCCAGCGTCGGCCCCCTGCTCGTGTCATCCTCTGTCACACGAGAATCTCCTTTGGCACCACCGCCTTGGTCACCCCTCCCTGCCTCGTCTTCGAGGTATGGCCTCCCGTACCCTTGTCTCTGGTCTCCCCCGGTCCCTCCCTCCCCTTCCTCCAGGACCTGCCCCTACCTGTGTTCCTTGTGTCGAGGGCCGGCAGCGCGCCGCTCCTCACTCCTCCGAGTTTCCTCAGACAGAGGCTCCCCTGCAGACTCTTCACATGGACGTGTGGGGCCCAGCGCGCGTCCGTGGACAGGGTCACGAGCGTTACTTTCCTGCTGGTCGTTGACGACTACTCGCGTTACACCACAGTCTTCCCCTTGCGCCGCAAGGGTGAGGTCTATGAGGTGTTGATCGACTGGATCCGCGGTGCCCGTCGCCAGCTCAGCGAGAGTTTCGGCTCGGACCTTCCTGTTCTGCGTCTGCACTCAGACAGAGGTGGTGAGTTTTCCTCCGACCTTCTGAGGGCCTTCTGTCATGCGGAGGGCATCCGCCAGACGTTCACGCTTCCGGCCTCCCCACAGCAAAATGGGATTGCTGAGCGCCGCATTGGCATGGTCATGGATGTTGCTCGTACGTCCATGATCCATGCGGCTGCTCCCCATTTTCTGTGGCCGTTCGCGGTTCAGTACGCTGCGCATCAGATCAACCTTAAGCCTCGTGTCTCCTTGCCGGAGACCACACCTACTCTGCGGTGGACGGGGAAGGTTGGCGATGCGTCTGTGTTCCACGTCTGGGGATCTCGAGCTTTTGTCCGCGATGCTTCCGCGGACAAGCTGTCCTCCCGTGCCGTTCCCTGCATCTTCCTTGCCTTCCCCCTTGACGCACTGTTAGAATCTTAGGCGAGAATGATTGACTAGGAAAAGGGAAGGAGTACAAGTAGAATGTCGAGAGAAACTTTGTACCCCCTAAGGCTAAACCCACTATAGCCTAGACAACTATAAACACATAAACTAAGCCTAGATATAACTAGGCATATATGTTTGACACACCCCCATAGGCGAAGTGGGGGATAGCCAGAACAAGCAATGGTCACAAGACCAGTCAAGAGAAGAAGCAAAGCAAAGCAAGCTCAGGGTGGATCACAAAGTCACCACACAGTCCGAGCACAAGCAAAGGGCCACAAGGCCAGTTCACATGCAGAGTAATATAAAGAGAACAAACAATACAGTGATCATACCCTAACAAGTGCAAGCATGCAGGTATATAGATAGATCACAGTACAGGCAGAGCTAGGGGCATTCACAAAGGGCAAGTTGAGGAGGAGGCTGGACTGTGAGAGGAGAGGAGATAGGAGGCGACTGCTGATGCTGCAGACACACGGGCAACAGGAGCGGCGCGCACTGTGGCTACCGGGGCCGTATCCCCGGACTACAGGAGTAACTGGCTCTGCGGCTAACTCTGAGCGGCAGGAGCAACGGACCCACAGGCGACTGGCGCAGCAGGCTCGCTGGGCTACCAGAGATTGTAGCCTCCGGACTACTGGCGCTGCTGGCGACACAACGGCTACCTCCGCTCAACCTCCCCCATAACTGTCCCACCCTCCTTTCACACACCCCTTGCTGCACCCCTAGCTCCACTCCCACGTCACCCCCCTAGCACCACTCCCTTGGCTCCCACACACCCACCCCCCTCAGCGGCAGCTGCAGCAGTGGGAGACGAAGGTGGAGGAGGAGGAGGGGATGGTTCACACACCCGCCACCCCCATACCCGCCACCCCGCAGTTGCACCCACACCCGCCACCCCCATACCCCCCCCCACTGCTGCACCTGCAGCAGGGGAAGGAAGAAGAAGGGAGGGGGGGGGGGGGGGGGGGGTTGGGGCGGGGGGGGGGGGGGGGGGGGGGGGGCTGTGCATGGCGCGTACAGAGGGCAGCAGGGCGCGCACAGGGCAGCAGGGCAGCAGGGCACGCAGGGCGCAGCAGGGCTGCAGGGCAGCAGCAAGGGCTGTAGCGGCAGCAGCAGGGCAGTAGGGCGCACAGGGCTGCAGGGCAGCAGGATAGCAGGGCGCATAGGGCGCGCAGGGCTGCAGGGCAGCACAGGGCTGCAGATCCCCTCCCCCCACCGCTGCACCCGCAGCAGGGGTGGAGGAGAAAAGGGGGGGGGGGGCTGATGCTGCAACTCCCCTCCCCCCACTGCTGCTGCAGATCCCCTCCCCCCACTGCTGCACCCGCAGCAGGGGTGGAGGAGAAAAAAGGGGGGGGGGGGGGGGGGGGGGGGGCTGGTGCTGCAGGTCCCCTCCCCCCACTGCTGCATCCGCAGCAGGGGGATGGCAGATCCCTTCCCCCCCACTGCGGCACCCGCAGCAGGGGGATGGAGGAGAAGGGTTGGGGCGGGGGTGGGGGGCAGGTGCTGCAGGTCCCCTCCCCCCCTCTGCTGCTCCCGCAGCAGGGGGAGGTAGGAGAAAGGTGGGGGACCTGGTGCTGCAGATCCCCTCCTGCCTCCCCCTGAACCTCCAAGTTTCCTCCCCCTCTCCCCGCCATCCCCATGGAGGGGGGGGAGGGGGGCGGGGGCGGAGCTGCGCGTGCGACTGAAGGGCACGCGGGCAGGAGGAACCCCCTCTTGCCACCCCCTCACCCACCATGGCGCAACAGGGCACCGGGGCCGCGGTTAGGGGCGGCAGGTCGCGAGGGGCCATGGCTAGGGGCGACGGGGCCATGGCTAGGGGCGACGGGGCCGGGCGCTGGGCAGGTACGGGGCCGGGCGCTGGGCAGGAACGGGGCCGGGCGCTGGGCAGGTACGGGGCCGGCCGCTGGGCAGGTACGGGGCCAGGCGCTGAGCAGGGACTGGGCCGGGCGCTGGGCAGGTACGTGGCCGGGCGCTGGGCAGGAATGGGGCCAGGCGCTGGGCTAGGTACGGGGCCGGGCGCGGGCAAGAGACGGGGCCGGGCGCTGGGCGAAGGACGGGGCCAGGCGCGGGCTTGGTACGGGCCGGGCGCGGGCTAGGTACGGGGCCAGGCGCGGGCGAGGTACGGGCCGGGCGCGGGGCTAGGAACGGGGCCGAGCGCGGGCTAGGTACGGGCCGGGCGTGAGGCTAGGTACGGGCCAGGCGACGGGCTAGGTACGGGCCGGGCGTCGGGCTAGGTACGAGCCGGGTGCGGGCAGGAGACGGGGCCGGGCGACGGGCTAGGTACGGGCCGGGCGACGGGCTAGGTACGGGCCGGGCGCGGGCAGGAGACAGGGCCGGGCGCGGGCTAGGTACGGGCCGGGCGACGGGCTAGGTACGGGCCGGGCGTCGGGCTAGGTACGGGCCGTGCGACGGGCTAGGTACGGGCCGGGCGACGGGCTAGGTACGGGCCGGGCGCGGGCGACGAAGTCGACGGGGCCAGCGGGGCCGAGGCGACGGGGCCAAGGGGCCGAGCCTAGGGGCTAGGGGCGACGCCAAGGGGCGACGGGCCGGGGCCTAGGCTAGCAGGGCAGTAGGTGGTGGGCCCATTAGCATTAGGTCCTAGGACTAATTGCTCTTAATACCATGCTAGAATCTTAGGCGAGAATGATTGACTAGGAAAAGGGAAGGGGTACAAGTAGAATGTCGAGAGAAACTTTGTACCCCCTAAGGCTAAACCCACTATAGCCTAGACAACTATAAACACATAAACTAAGCCTAGATATAACTAGGCATATATGTTTGACACGCACCTGGGTGGCAGTTTTACCACCCCACCTCGCGTCGTGTTGTGTCCTCTCAGGACGTCACGTTTGACGAGTCGGTATCTTACTACTGTCTCTTTCCCTACCGCACTGCCCCTCTCCCCCCCCTGCCACTCTTCCTAGCACCAGGTGCTCCTCCGGTAGACCCCCTTCCCCCTCAGGGTCCTGCCCCCTCAGGTGTGTCCCAGGTAGACCCTGTCGAGCCCGTTGAGGTAGCTGTCGACTCTGGTGCTGCTAGGGGTGCTGAGCCTGCGGGTGCGGGGACTGGGGGTGTTGGGCCTGGGGTTACTGTGTCTGAGGGTGCGGAGCCTGGGGGTGCTGAGCCTGAGCGTGTGGAGCCTGGGGGTGCGTTCGCAAGCCACTTCTAGTGTCAGTCTGGAATTGAGTGATCCCATTCTATTGAAGGCTTCATCTGCGTTGGGTTGAGTAGACGCACAGGCTTCTCCAGCAGGCAGTGCAGGATGACAAGTGCACCAGCAGATTCGCCAGTTACGCGTGTGGAAAGTACCAGAGCACTCTAAACACCATAAAGATCATACGGTAGTCCTCTCGCATGAGCTTCTAATGCAGGCAATGCAGGATAACGGTGCTAGCAGGCTTGCCAGTCATGGAACCTCTGAGGAAACTACACTATTCTAGACACCATCACAATCGCAGATCTTTCAGCGTGGGCTTCTCGAGCATGCAGATGATGGTAGCTGCCAGATTGCCAATTATGGCCTTAGGGGGAGTGAGGCTTCAGTGCAGGGGTCAGTACTCGAGCAGATCTAGCACTGACATGACAAGATCAGATCCAGCACTGACAAGGTCAGGTGTGAAAAGTACTGCTAACAACACCACCACCAAGTCTACAAATCTTTTCGCATGGGCTTCTCGAGCAGGCAGTGCAGGATGACTGTGCCGGCAGGCTTGCCAATCATAGCCTTGGCGGGGGTGAGGCTCCAATGCAGCTGGCGGTACTTTAGCAGATCTAGAACTGAGAGGTAGGATGGCATCTCTGCTGCCGAAGCGGTGAATTCCTCAAACCACATCACTCCACCTAATTGAAAGAGACACGATACAGTCAGGGAGAGGGAGGGAAAAGAGGGGCATATCAAGGGAGACGGGCAAGGCACGGAAGATGGCATGGGGGAGGGAGGGGGAGGGGTGAAGCTCCAGTGGAGGTAACGGTATTTGAGCAGATTCAAGACCAATAGATCGAACTGCACACGGTGGCATGCGCAGGTTGCTGAAAGGCCAACTCACACGGTGGCATGCGCAGGTTGCTGAAAGGCCAACTCACCGGCTTGTAGCACGCGGTCCCACTTGAACAGGACTTCTACAAACTCAGCAGGCGACGGCATGAAGTTGATGGCGTTTGTGGCGTGTGGAATGTGACTAAGGTGATGTCGTGCAAAGGTGAACACACGGACTTGCTGACATGTGCCCAACTCACCAACTCTCAGCACACGGTCCCACTCGAATAGGACTTCTTCGAATTCGGCAGGCGATGGCATAGACTTGATGGCGTTGGTGGCGTGAACAATGTCAAGAGTGTTGTCGTAGAAGGGCAGTCGGACCTGGTGGGAATGGGAACATACGGGTAAGAGTCAAGAGAAAGAAGAGAGGGGAGCAATGAACTTGATGGCATTGGTGGCATGAAGAATGTCCAGACTGTTGTCGTAAAACGGCAGGCGAGCCTGATGATGGGAGTGACAGAATGCGTTGGGGATGGGAGAGAGGAGAAAGGGAGGTGGACGGAGAAGCTGAGCCTAAGGGTGTTGGTGGCGGGAAGAATGTGTCGTAGTAAAAAGGCAGACGGACCTGATGGGAGTGACAGAAGCGCGGGGAGAAGATGGGGGGTGCGGGGGGAGAAACGAGTGGGAAGGAGAGCATGAACTTGATGGCATTGGTGGAGTGAAGAATGTCCAGTGTTGCCGTAGAATGGCAGACGGACCTGATGGGAGTATAAAACGGCACTCCCTTGCCGCGACTTTTGAGGCGCCTCAAAAGGGAGTACAAACCGGCACTCCCTTGCTGCGCCCCACATTGGCATTTCACCGAGTAAATTCAGCCACCTCTTCTCATCGTGCATCAGGCACAGCAGCAGCAGCAGCAGCAGCAGCAGCAGCAGCACCTACTCACCTTATATGGCAGCCACAGCGGCACGAGGCCCCTGAGAGCAATGGTAGAAAAAAACAAGTCATTGCATCGCACCCCAGCAACAGCCGCCACAGGGTTCCTGCAGCAGCAGCAACTCACCCACCTTGTAGGGAAGCCAGATGGGAACAAGACCCCTGAGAGCGATAGTTTCCAGGAAGGGAAGACCCTTTTTGCGCCCCACGTTGGCTTCAAGGTTCATTGCTGACGTCATCATGGTCACGTTGTGCCTAGCCATGTGCGCAGCGAACGATCCCGAGCCTCCATTGAAGTCCAGACCGATTCTGAGATGTTAACGATTCAGTATGGAGTGGAAACAGGGGAGAAGAGGAGCATGTGTCAGCATGGTCACATTGTGCCTCGCCATGTGCGCTGCGAATGAGCCCGAGCCCCCGTTGAAGTCTAGCCCAATTCTGGCAAAGGGGAACAAGCAGTGGTGGGAAGAGGAAACAAGGGAGAGAAGGGGACCGGCAGTGTCACATTGTGCCTCGCCATGTGCGCTGCGAATGAGCCCGACCCCCCGTTGAAGTCGAGACCGATCCTGCAGTAGTGAAGAGAGAAAGCATCGGGCTGCAGTGGATGAACAGTGCAGAGAAAGGGACCAGCCGTGACACGTTGTGATGTTTTGAGACGTCTCAAAACCAGTGGAGGAACAGTGCAGAGAAAGGGACCAGCCGTGACACGTTGTGCCGTTTTGAGACGTCTCAAAACCAGTGGAGGAACAGTGCAGAGAAAGGGACCAGCCGTGACACGTTGTGCCTTGCCATGTGCGCTGCGAATGAGCCTGTTCCCCTGTCGATTTCGAGACCGATTCTGGTGACGGGGGACGGGCGATGGGGGGTCAGTCAGTGGGGAGAGGAAACCAAGGGACCGACAGTGTCACGTCACGTTATGCCGCTTGTTCTGCAAATGATCCTGACCCCCCATGCTCACCTCAGCGCCCCCTTTTTTATTGCGATAACCTCTTTCACAGTAAGCGCCCCTCCTGCTGCTGTATCCGTGGGCGGCTTGACCATCCACCTCATCTCCTCCGCACTCATGTTCCAACAACAACAATATCTCCCTTCAAACAATATCTCCCTTCAAACAATGGTCAACGCAAACAGAGGTCCCTCTCATCCTCGCTCAAGTTCCAACAACCATTCTTGAGGCGCCTCACAAGTCCAACAACCTTCATCCATCCACTCCCTCATACCCATCAACTTAAACAAACAGTGCCCTTCTCACCTAGGCCCTCAACTAACCTCAGAGTCCCTTTCTTGTTCGCAATAACCTCCTTCACAGTAAGCGCCCCTCCCGCTGCTGTTGGGCCACTCCTCTAGCTTCTCTCCTCCACACATGGTCATATGACCCATCGTCTACACCCTGAGCTCACCTCAGCGCCCCCTTCTTGATCGCAATAACCTCCTACACAGTGCCTCTCCTGCCGCCGTGTTCTTGGGCGGCTTAACCATCCACCTCCTCTCCTCTGCACACGAGCTTCATCACGAACCAACCACACATATATATCACCCAACCTCCACTCCTTTTCTCACCTCAGCGCCCCCTTCTTGATTGCGATAACCTCCTTCACAGTAAGCGCCCCTCCCCCTGCCGTGTTCTTGGGCGGCTTAGCCAACCACCTCCTCTCCTCCGCGCTCATGTTCCAGCAACCGCCGCCGCCCGGCTGCCGCCCGCAGGCATCCCCCGTGCCAGCCGTGGCAGTGGCGAGAGCGGAGGGGGAGAGGGCGTTGAGGGAGGCGAAGGAGGAGAAGGCGTGGCTGTTCCACCGCACTGAGGCGTCTTGAAGGGCTGACTGGGAGAAGAGAGACGTTGGCCTTGACAGGGGCTGCTCAGGGCAAAAGCAGGGAGGGAAAAATGACAGAAACTGGCAGAGGTAGGAGCAAGGAGGGGGAGAGGGCGTTGAGGGAGGCGAAGGAGGAGAAGGCGTGGTTGTTCCACCTCACTGAGGCGTCTTGCAGGGCGGATTGAGAGAAGAGAGAGGCGGGTCTTGACAAGGGCTGCAATATGGGCACGGGAGAGAGGGAAGGGGGCGAGGGCAGATGGGGAGAGGGCGTTGAGGTGAGGCAGGCGAAGGAGGAGAAGGCGTGGTTGTTCCACCGCACTGAGGCGTCTTGGAGGGCGGACTGGGAGAAAAGAGACGTTGGCCTTGACAGGGGCTGCAAGAAGGGCAAGGGAGAGAGAGAGGGGGGGCAAGGAAGGGGAGAAAGGAAGGGGAGAGGGCGTTGAGGTGAGGCAGGCGAAGGAGGAGCAGGCGTGGTTGTTCCACCGCACTGATGAGTCTTGGAGGGCGGATTGAGAGAAGAGAGAGGTGGGTATCAACAGGGGCTGGAGGGTGGGGGGGAAGGGGGCAGGGGAAGATGAGAAGCAAGGAGGGGAGCAGTTGAGGCTAAGGAAGGAGGAGCAGGCGTGGTTGTTCCACCGCACCGCAGTGACGAGTCTTGGAGGGCGGATTCGGATGCAAGAAAAATCGTCATCTCTCACACCCAACCAACCATAGTAATGGAGGGGCAGATGAGAAAGCAAGGAAGGGGTGACGGCGTTGAGGCAGGTGAAGGAGGAGCAGGCATGGTTGTTCCACCGCACCGCAGTGACGAGTCTTGGAGGGCGGATTCGGATGCAAGAAAAATCGTCATCTCTCTCACACCCAACCAACCATAGTAATGGAGGGGCAGATGAGAAAGCAAGGAAGGGGTGAGGGCGTTGAGGCAGGTGAAGGAGGAGCAGGCGTGGTTGTTCCACCGCACGGCAGTGACCAGTCTTGGAGGGCGGATTCGGATGCAAGAAAAATCGTCATCTCTCACACCCAACCAACCATACCCATACTATACTACATCCACCCACCTCGACTATCTTGTGTGCAGTGCTCTCACCCACCTACACCACCCACCCACCCACCCAGCCACCCACTCTCCCACCCACCTCCACTATCTTGTGTGCCGTGCGAGCAAGGCAGCGCCTCTTGGGCAGCGAGTGGCACTGCTTGCGGAAAATCAAATCTTGGACGAACAGCCAATCGTCTGGGCACATGCCCCTCGTCTCGAAGTCCATGTAGCGCTGTAGCTCACGCTCTGTAGCAGAACACGAGTAGCCCTGTAACGGGGATGAAAGAAAATAGAACAGAGCAGAGGGAAAGCCATGAATTTATTGTCCGAACACACATGCCCCTGGTCTCGTCGTCCATGTAGCGTTGCAGCTCACGCTCTGTAGCGGAGCACGAGTAACCCTGTAAGGGGGATGAAGGAACAGAGCAGAGGGGAAAGGCATGAGCAGACGGAATGGTATGAGCCAATCGACGAAGCACACACGCCCCTCGTCTCATAGTCCATACATATAGCGTTGCAGCTCGCACCATGCCGTGGGATGGGAAGAGTCTCAAAGCTACGTGTCAGAATAGCCCCTCACTCAGAAAAGCTAACAGCTCTTTGAAGGCAAGCTCCGGTTCTACATGAAGGCAAGCTCCGGTTCTACATGAAGGCAAGCTCCAGTTCTACATGAAGGCAAGCTCCGGTTCTACATGAAGGCAAGCTCCGGTTCTACATGAAGGCAAGCTATTCTCTTTAAAGGACCGGGACGGGAACAGCATGACTGACCGGCCTAGATAAAGGCGAGGAATTCACATATGCGCACAAACACACACAGACACAGACACACACACAGACACAGACACACACACACACACACACACACACACACACACACACACACACACACACACACACACAGATACTGACAGACACCCTTACCCACCTTCCAGCTGGGAACCTTCTTGGAAATTACAGGGCCTGTCTGCGGCTTGCAGCTGTGCAGCAGCTCCGTTGCCCTGCTCAGCGCCTGCAGGGGGGAAACGGGAAAAGGAAGAGGATGGGGAAAGACAAGGGGAAATGCAAGGAAGGCTGTGTGGACAGTCAGTGCCTGCATGTGGCTTGCAGCTGTGCAGCAGCTCCATTGCCCTGCTGAGTGCCTGGAAGAGGGGGGAGCGGGGGGGTTGGGGAAGGGTGGGGGGAGAAGAAGGGAAATGCAAGGAAGGCTGTGTGGACAGGACAGTCAGTGCCTGCATACGGCTTGCATCTCTGCAGCAGCTCCGTTGCCCTGCTGAGCGCCTGGAGGGGGAGTGGGAGAGTGGGTGGGGAGGGGGGTGGGAGGATGGGTAAATGTAAGGAAGGCTGTTGCGGACGCGTGGAAATGCGGCTTGTACCTGTGCAGCAGCTCCGTTGCCTTCTTGCCCCAATCCGCCCCGAACTCGGTCAACTTGACATCGATCGAGGCCTATCATGCGATTAGTTGTCTACCTAACTATCCCACAGCACACACACACACACACACACACACACACACACACACACACACACACACACACACACACACACACACACAAGAACGCACCTCCTTGGTAATCGCTTTCTTGCCCCAATCGGCCCCCGACTCGGTCAGCTTGACGTCAAGCGCTGCCTTGTCCCCATTCACCTTCTCATGCCGCTTCTGCTCACGCAGGAGGGTGGAGAGACGGTTGGGAAGGGAACAGAGGGGTGAAAGGGGCGGAAAGAGAGGCACAGGAGGGCAGGTCAACTTCACATCCAGTGCTGCCTTGTCCGCATTCACCTTCTCGTGCTGCTTCTGAAGAGGCCAAGGGGGGAAATAAAGGGGAGAGAAGGGTGTAAGGAAGGATGGGCACACAAGGCAAGACTCTGTCAGCTTTACCTCCATCCAGCGCCGCCTTGACTGCATTCACCTTCTCGTGCCGCTTCTGGGTGGGCCGAGAGGCTGCCTAGACCCCCATTCACCTGCAAGGCTTCGTATTCCGCCTTCAACCGTTTCAGCTCCCCCTGCTTCTCCACCAGTCGGCTCTGCAGCTCCATAACATCGTCCGCCTCTGTGCCCCTCCCCCCTGCGCCTCCCCTTCCGCCCCCTCCCCTTCCCCTTCCCCCTCCTCCCCCCGGCTGCCCCTCACTGCCCGCATCGCCCAGCTTGCTTGCTTCAACCCCTGCCAATGCGAGGGTAGGGAAAGCCAGCCATAGAAGAAAGGAGGAGGTTAGGAGGGGAGGAAGAATGGTGATTCATTCAGCAAATTGTGCAAGTTGTAAATTCTCCCTCAGTCGACCCCCCCTTCCCCCTCCCCCTCGCTGCCCTGATCTCCCAGCTTGCTTGCTTCAACACCTGCCAACGGCCAAGGCGAGCAAGGGAGGGAAGGAGGGGCGGATGAGGGTTAGTGGGGCAGGAATTATAGGTGATACATCAGTCGAACCCCCTCCTCCTTGCTGCCCCTCGCTGCCCTGATCTCCCAGCTTGCTTGCTTCAACACCTGCCAACGGCCAAGGCAAGCAAGCGAGGGAAGGAGGGGCGGATGAGGGTTAGTGGGGCAGGAATTATAGGTGATACATCAGTCGAACCCCCTCCTCCTTGCTCTCCCTCGCTGCCCTGATCTCCCAGCTTGCTTGCTTCAACACCTGCCAACGGCCTAGGCGAGCAAGGGAGGGAAGGAGGGGCGGACGAGGGTTAGTGGGGCAGGAATTATAGGTGATACATCAGTAGTCGACCCTCCCCTCCCCCGCCCCCCCTCCCTTGCTGCCCCTCGCTGCCCTGATCTCCCAGCTTGCTTGCTTCAACACCTGCCAACGGCCAAGGCAAGCAAGGGAGGGAAGGAGGGGCGGATGAGGGTTAGTGGAGCAGGAATTATAGGTGATACATCAGTCGAACCCCCTCCTTCTTGCTCTCCCTCGCTGCCCTGATCTCCCAGCTTGCTTGCTTCAACACCTGCCAACGGCCTAGGCGAGCAAGGGAGGGAAGGAGGGGCGGATGAGGGTTAGTGGGGCAGGAATTATAGGTGATACATCAGTCGAACCCCCTCCTCCTTGCTGCCCCTCGCTGCCCTGATCTCCCAGCTTGCTTGCTTCAACACCTGCCAACGGCCAAGGCAAGCAAGGGAGGGAAGGAGGGGCGGATGAGGGTTAGTGGGGCAGGAATTATAGGTGATACATCAGTCGAACCCCCTCCTCCTTGCTCTCCCTCGCTGCCCTGATCTCCCAGCTTGCTTGCTTCAACACCTGCCAACGGCCTAGGCGAGCAAGGGAGGGAAGGAGGGGCGGATGAGGGTTAGTGGGGCAGGAATTATAGGTGATACATCAGTAGTCGACCCTCCCCTCCCCCGCCCCCCCTCCCTTGCTGCCCCTCGCTGCCCTGATCTCCCAGCTTGCTTGCTTCAACACCTGCCAACGGCCAAGGCAAGCAAGGGAGGGAAGGAGGGGCGGATGAGGGTTAGTGGAGCAGGAATTATAGGTGATACATCAGTCGAACCCCCTCCTTCTTGCTCTCCCTCGCTGCCCTGATCTCCCAGCTTGCTTGCTTCAACACCTGCCAACGGCCTAGGCGAGCAAGGGAGGGAAGGAGGGGCGGATGAGGGTTAGTGGGGCAGGAATTATAGGTGATACATCAGTCGAACCCCCTCCTCCTTGCTGCCCCTCGCTGCCCTGATCTCCCAGCTTGCTTGCTTCAACACCTGCCAACGGCCAAGGCAAGCAAGGGAGGGAAGGAGGGGCGGATGAGGGTTAGTGGGGCAGGAATTATAGGTGGTACATCAGTCGAACCCCCTCCTCCTTGCTCCCCCTCGCTGCCCTGATCTCCCAGCTTGCTTGCTTCAACACCTGCCAACGGCCTAGGCGAGCAAGGGAGGGAAGGAGGGGCGGATGAGGGTTAGTGGGGCAGGAATTATAGGTGATACATCAGTAGTCGACCCTCCCCTCCCCCGCCCCCCCTCCCTTGCTGCCCCTCGCTGCCCTGATCTCCCAGCTTGCTTGCTTCAACACCTGCCAACGGCCAAGGCAAGCAAGGGAGGGAAGGAGGGGCGAATGAGGGTTAGTGGAGCAGGAATTATAGGTGATACATCAGTCGAACCCCCTCCTTCTTGCTCTCCCTCGCTGCCCTGATCTCCCAGCTTGCTTGCTTCAACACCTGCCAACGGCCTAGGCGAGCAAGGGAGGGAAGGAGGGGCGGATGAGGGTTAGTGGGGCAGGAATTATAGGTGATACATCAGTCGAACCCCCTCCTCCTTGCTGCCCCTCGCTGCCCTGATCTCCCAGCTTGCTTGCTTCAACACCTGCCAACGGCCAAGGCAAGCAAGGGAGGGAAGGAGGGGCGGATGAGGGTTAGTGGGGCAGGAATTATAGGTGATACATCAGTCGAACACCCTCCTCCTTGCTCCCCCTCGCTGCCCTGATCTCCCAGCTTGCTTGCTTCAACACCTGCCAACGGCCTAGGCGAGCAAGGGAGGGAAGGAGGGGCGGATGAGGGTTAGTGGGGCAGGAATTATAGGTGATACATCAGTAGTCGAACCCCCTCCTCCTTGCTCCCCCTCGCTGCCCTGATCTCCCAGCTTGCTTGCTTCAACACCTGCCAACGGCCTAGGCGAGCAAGGGAGGGAAGGAGGGGCGGATGAGGGTTAGTGGGGCAGGAATTATAGGTGATACATCAGTAGTCGAACCCCCTCCTCCTTGCTCCCCCTCGCTGCCCTGATCTCCCAGCTTGCTTGCTTCAACACCTGCCAACGGCCTAGGCGAGCAAGGGAGGGAAGGAGGGGCGGATGAGGGTTAGTGGGGCAGGAATTATAGGTGATACATCAGTAGTCGAACCCCCTCCTCCTTGCTCCCCCTCGCTGCCCTGATCTCCCAGCTTGCTTGCTTCAACACCTGCCAACGGCCTAGGCGAGCAAGGGAGGGAAGGAGGGGCGGATGAGGGTTAGTGGGGCAGGAATTATAGGTGATACATCAGTAGTCGACCCTCCCCTCCCCCGCCCCCCCTCCTCTTGCTGCCCCTCGCTGCCTGCATCGCCCAGTTTGCTTGCTTCAACCCCTGGCAAGGCGAGCAAGGAAGGGGAAGTGTGGAGCAAAGGTGATGCACCACCGATTGCATAATGGATTGCATCTGAAATTCGTTGGGTTTGAAATGCAGCAAGCCTGCTAAGAGTAACGATCTAGAGCACTAGTCTACTAATCTGAAAGGCGAGGGAAGTAGTGAGAAAAGGTCTACTAATCAGAAAGCCAGACACATTAGGCCTAGATGTCGCGTGTGAACGCGTTTCGGCCAGCAAAGGCCTTCATCAGCACATGATGAAGGCCTTAGTTGGCTGAAACGCGTTCGCACACGAACATCCGGGCCCATTGTGTCTGGCGTTCTAACAGACTTTTTCTTACGACTTCCCTCATTTTTTCAGATTAGTACCGGTAGACTTAGTTCTATAGATCGTTCTTAATCTCTTAGAAGGCTTGCAGCGGATCGAACCCAGCTGAATTCAACAGCAAAGGTGGTGCACCACGGATTGCATAACGGATTGCATCACTACCTCACAGCATTCCTGAAAACCACTCACGAAGCTCCTTCAACTGTTTTTGAGACGTCTCAAAACTCGGGAAGCTGCTTCAACTGCTCCTCACACTGGGAACACGCCCCGCCCCCCTCCCCTCCCCTCCAACCCCTCTCCCCCTCCCTCCACTAACCCCTCAATTAGTGATATCTAACCACACTACGAGCTCGCAACCGCATGCACACCTGGTCACCGCACTGCAAACCTGCGAACCACTCGGGAAGCTGCTTCAATTGCTCCTCACACTGGGAACACGCCCCGCCCCCCTCCCCTCCCCCCCCCACCCCTTCCCCCCACCCCACTAACCCCCTCAATCAGTGATATCTAGCAACACTACGCACTCGCAACCGCATGCACACCTCGTTACCGCACTGCACACCTGCGAACCATTCTTGGAGCTCCTTCAGCTGCTCCCTACACTGGGCACACGTCCCCCGCACACCCCCCTCTGCACTCTTGAGTGTCCTGCCACAGCACAAGGGGGTGTGATGGGAGAGGAGGGTGTGATGGGGGAGGAGCAAGGGGGTTAGATGAGGATGCTCCCTACACTGGGCACACGTCCCCCGCACACCCCCCTCTGCACTCTTGAGTGTCCTGCCACAGCACAAGGGGGTGTGATGGTGGGAGAGGAGCAAGAGAACATATGCTCTTTTTCATGATGCAAGGAAGGAGATACTCTTTCCGTCGACTCACACGTCCCCCGCGCCCCGCCGCCTGCACTCTTGATTGAGAGATCTGCGGAGCACAAGGGGGTGTGATGGGAGAGGAGCAACGTGAAATGAGAGTACTTTTGAGATGTCCCAAAAATAATCTCATTTCTGATGGGGGAGGAGCAAGGGGGTTAGATGAGGATGCTCCTTGCACTGCGCACACGTCCCCCGCGCCCCCCCCTCTGCACTCTTGAGAGTTCTGCGGAGCACAACAAGGGGGTGTGATGGGAGAAGAAAGGAAGAGATCATATGCTGGGACGAAGATACCCTTTCAGTCAACGCACATGTCCCCCCAGCTCCCCTCTGCACTCTTGAATCCCTGCCCAGCACAAGGGGGTGTGATGGGAGAGGAGCAACGGGGTTGGACGAGGGTAATCCTGCAGGCAACTCACACGTCCCACATGCCCCTACCTCCCACCCTCTGCACTCTCGAGGGATCTGGGAGACACGAGAGTGTGATGGGAGAGGAGCAACGGGGTTGGATGAAGATGCTCCTTACACTGCGACTCACACGTCCCATATGCCCCCCTCTCATCTGCAGTCTTGAGGGATCTGGGGGACACGAGGGGGTGTGATGGGAGAGGAGCAACGGGGTTGGATGAAGATGCTCCTTACACTGCGACTCACACGTCCCATATGCCCCCCTCTCATCTGCAGTCTTGAGGGATCTGGGGGACACGAGGGGGTGTGATGAGAGAGGAGCAACGGGGTTGGATGAGGATGCTCCTTACACTGCGACTCACACGTCGTCATGCCCCCCCCCTGCCCTCATCTGCACCCTTGAGAGATCTAAGGGACACGAGTGGGTGGGATGGGAGAGGAGCAACGGGGTTGGATGAGGATACTCCTGCAGGCGACTCAGACGTCCCCCGCGCCCCTCCCTCTGCACTCTTGAAAGATCTGCGGAGCACAAGGGAACGGGATGGGAGTGAAAACAAAAAGAATACTTTCAGTCGACTCACTTATACTCTCCCCTCTCACGCTGCACTCTTGAGAAATTTTCAGAGCACAACCAGGTGCGATGGATATCCAAAGGAAATCGGTAAAATTTCATATGATTTCTCGCAATCTCCACCTCTCCCTCTGCAGTAACGACGCACTGCTGCCGCTGGCCCTCCGCCTCTGGTCGAACCCCACGGCAGAAGCGGAAATTCACTATAACGAAGCAGTTGGGAGTCGGAAGTTTATACCGAGGACAAGAATGAATCCCGTTACCGTTTAGCGGAAGATTCCTGCTGTAACGAGGCGCTGCTGCCGCTACCTCTCCGTCTCTGATCCAACCCCAACGCAGACGCGGAAACGGACAGTCCAGAAGCTGCTGCTGACGCTACTCCATGACCTTCAATCGGTCCGAACGGATGCGCTGCGGCTGCTGTTGCTGCTGCTGCTTCTGCTGTTGACAATGAGAGAATCGCGAAAAGTACATGAGATATACTACCGAAGATGAATAATAACGAGGACCGGGTGCTAAATGGAGGCATTGTGGATTGAGACAGCGGTATCAGCGGCATTCTGAGTTTCAAGGCGAGGTAGGTAGGACATCATAGGTCCATCCCGCTGGGTTTGTTTCTGTGTACCTACGTCCCGTCATTGCAAGTGCCAGGGGTCGGCGCAGCAAACTTAATGTGGAGCAAGCTAGATATAACCTTTCTTGTCTGCTCCCTTCAACTTGTCATATATCCAACTTGTTCCTACTCGCATTCTTGAGATGTAACGCACAGCGCAACATTGATAATTCGTCCAAGAGCAGGAAAACACCTCACGTTACAGACATAACGCATGCAAGTATAAAGGGCATGGAGCCTGGAGCAAACCATTCACTCAGCCCGCCCGCCCGTTCTTCAGTCATCAGCTAACGGGTGGAAGCAACCTTTGTTAAATAGTTTCTACATTAATTACAGTGCTCTCAAACCAACACTAGAAGGACCTGCTTTCACAGATATCTTCCTCACTTTCCCACAGAGCGCATGATTGTTATTTGGATGAGTCACAGCCAAAGGAAACCTAGTCAATGCCTCACCAAAATGCTGTAGCACGTCCTGCACATCGGATTTTGTGTATGGGCCCAAGCACATTGATATATTAAAGCTGTAGCGCTTGAACAGACCACTCCAGGTGCTTGTGATGTTCTTCCAATGTGGGACGTTTTTTCTGTCAAGGTATTTGGCAGCGAGGCACGAACGAACAGCCATAAGGTCGGGTTGAGCCCCTCCTGATCGGACGTTGTCCACGCGTGTCTTTTCCACAATGTAACATTCTGATGGAGAGGACCTGCCACGAATGGTAAAACAAAATTCCTATACATTATCGTATCAACGTTCTTTAATGAATATTCGGTCCAGGATCAGCAGGATGCACAATATTCACACGATATACTACAGGAGTTGTCACCTCGGGAGTATAGAATGGCACTTGCTTGTTGCACACCACACTGGATTCCCAACTAGGTTCATCACTTTTGAGTCGACTCAAAAAGTCACCTCAGGATCAGCAGGATGCACAATATTCACACGATATACTACAGGAGTTGTCAAATGAATGCAAATGCAAGAAGGGATGTCCCTTAAACGAGTATCTCCCCGTTGCTGCCAGATCACCAAGGATCTTTCCATGGCTACGGGGGGGTCTCAACTTGGCCACATAGCGAACTGAAAAAGGAATCGGGTGGAAGGCAAGAACGATGAGACAAAGGACCATCGCTCCAACGCAGCTGGGTGCGCTATAGTGGATGCGGAATAATATGAGTTACCCCCGAGGAACACAATAAAGCAGTAGACCAGCTTTTCCATACATGAAACATGATACCTTGAAAAAGAATCAGGCGGAGAGTTGAGTGAAACATTCTCGTACTTTGGCTGATTGGAAGCACTCACGGAAAACTTTCCCTTTAGGAACAGTCGAAATCTGTGTGGAAGACGCGACAGGAAGACCTCCTGGACGCGATGACGTTGATGCAAGGGACGAGAGTAAGGACTCCGGAAATGACGAGAGTAAGAGGGGCGTTGGGAGCGACGGTGCAGCAGACGCTGCTGCACTGGCGGTTGTGCGGAACGGCACCGTTACTAGCAAACCTGCACACGGAGGCACAGGGCAGGGCGAGGTCTCGTTAGAAGCACGCTGCGTTTGAGCGGCAGAGGCTTGGATACCCTTGCGAAGGGGCGGAAGTAGTAAGTGCTCACAAATTAATAGACAGCAGAACGTGGTTCGCTCCATGATACAGATGTCAAAGAAACGAGCAACTACAGGACAAAGAGAAAATAAATCCAGGTTCTCTTCGGGAAGTGGGCAAGAACGGGGCTGAAACCCATTACCGAATGTGCGTCCCGGTATCTGGCTAATCGAGCAAGATTCTACGCACAACGCGGCTTCGGCAATTCTTGGATGGAACGTCGTCGCCGTAAGCGCGCACCATGCGCTGGTTCAATCGTGTGCACTCTGAAGGGCAGATACGAACTTGGCTTTGTGTGCCGCTGCATTGCTGGAATTCAAGTGCACCATTGCTCGCACATGCGGCCATGTGTAGGGTTCTTACATCATTCCACCAACAGAAAGCTAGAAGCGAGGCGAAATGGTAGTGGAGTAGGGTGGACGGCTGGAAAAGGTTTCCTGGCGTGGTGTCAGATGGCGAACAGCGCTGGCGAGATGAGCTGGCGAAGTGCACGGGTGAGGCAGGTGTGGCGAGGGCTGTTGGGCTTTCGCAAAATGCTGGCGACGGATTTCGTACGGAAATGAACTCGTCTAGCGTAACTTTCCAAAAGTCCGTGCTTGCTGAGGGCGGGTCGGGCAGGTTTAAAACACACAAAATCGTTTTCAGCCGTGTACTCTGAACCGAAAGCTTACATAATCCGACCCGCCTCAAACCTAGAAAGTTGGTGAACACTGCATCATTGATGAACGCAGGCAACAGCTGTACCATCCACGGCTTGATCGAAAATAGACCACGACTAGGGCGTGTCTCTTTGTCTTTTTTTTCCCGGACAGTCTACTTGTATCGAAACGGACAGTCCCAATAGCGGGTACCGGACAGTCCGTTTCGAAAATTCGAAACTTCCGACTGTCCGAAGGCAAAAACGTCACTTTCTCTACTTCAGAAACTACCGAAGTACTGTGGCCTCGCTAGAGCTACTGTACCATCGTAACCCCAGTCACACACTCTCGCCAGTTTCGCTCACCCCATGGCGGCTCGATTTCAAACATTCACAAACACCCAGCACACCACACAACTCGATACATTGAAACCAGCACACATACACCCAGAGCACATACACACTACTCATGTAGTTTCACCATGTCCACGAGGCTGCTACTCTCTCTACTTCACCTCTTATATAGAGGGTACCAGGAGTTCATCGTTAGGCGATATTGCTGCTAGAAGATGATGACCGTGACATTATGCGACGCGGCCTTGAGAACCAGAGAGCGCGGTGGGATGTTCTCCTCGGGGTTATGCCCAACCACATTTTCATGGAGACGTTCAGAGTTAATCGTCCCGTTTTTTAATACCTAGTTGACGCGTGGGTCACGAGGTACCGGGACAGGCGGAGAGTAGTACCCGTTGATACTTTTGTGGCAATGACTCTTGCCTATCTAGGCACGGGTGCCACATTTCGTCAAATGGCATTGCGATTTGGAGTAGTACCCCAACACGCGTTCCGAATCATCCAAGGCTTCATAGCCTTCATTGTGGACGTTCTAGAGCCTCTGTGGGTCTCTCACCCATCACCTGAGCAATGCGCCTGTTTTAGAGGATTCTCCTCACTTTGCAAGAACTGGGATTTGTACTAATCAGTAGAACTCTGTCTTAGCTTTCCAACGGGCCGTAGATCACCTCGATCGCCTACGTATCGAGCGAGATATAGGCGTTTATGTGCTAGGTAGTGCTCTTGGAATCAAGGAGATGAACTCTCTGGATTTTGTAGTCGAATGTATCACATACAAAGTGATTCTCAATTTCAGTATATGCCATGCAATACAAAGCAAACAAATTTATATGAACTGCAATGCATCGAGTCGCACATGTAACCTCGAGTTGCTACACTCTCGAATGTTCGAGTAACATTTCGAAGGGGTGAAATTCGGAACTCGAATTTCACCGAATCGAATTCTCCTTCAGTCTCGATTCTTCTTGTGCTGCCATGTGGCACCGAAGTGCAGGTTCTTCCGAAGTCAACCCATACTTCTTGGAACCTGCAACACATTCATGAAACTTCCAACTTGCAGCTCACTCAACCGTGAGCACTAGAAGGAACACTTTCAGTGGTTGGGGGCAATCCTTGCCTCACGCAACCTCCAACACTCCCCCTTGCACCCAAGCCACTAGGTGTTCAATCCAACACGCCCACAGCATACACGGAATGAGTCCTTAGGGAGTGGTTTAGTGAGGAAGTCCACGGGTTGAGCTTTGGTGCTCACATAAGTGAGTTTGACCTCACCCTTCTCAACCGCCTTACGAATGAAGTGATGCTTCACCTCAATATGCTTCGTTCGTCCATGAACGACGGCGTTGTGAGAGAGGCTTATGGCGGCTTGGTTGTCACAAAAGAGAGGAGTTGGGCTCGGTTGAGGATGCCCAAGCTCCGCTAGAAGACGCCATAGCCATATTGCCTCCGTGGCACCTTGTGTGAGTGCTATATACTCCGCTTCCGTTGAGCTTAGAGCCACGGTTGGTTGCTTCTTGCTTTGCCAACTCACAGCTGCCCCAAGCAAGGTGAAGACGTACCCGGAGGTACTCTTGCGCGTGCTCGGATCTCTTGCGAGTACTCGGAGGTACTCTTGCGCGTACTCTTGTTGTAGAGTATTCTCCTCTACTATTCAGGAACTGGGAATTGTTCTAATCAGTAGAGCACTCTGTTAGCTTTCCAACGAGCCGTAGATCACCTCGATCACCTAAGTATCGAGCGAGATATGGCTACTAACGTGAAAGCTATGCTCTATGTTGAAGGATTGGAAACTCTCTGGAATTTGTTGTCGAATGCACTGTGTACAAAGTGATTCACGTTTTCCAGTATTAAGCATGCAATACAAAGCAAACAGATTTATAGCATGCAACAAACATCGAGTCGCACAAGTAACCTCGAACCGCGGTACACTCGAATGTTCGAGTAACATTTCGAAGGGGTGAAATTCGAGTCTCGAATTTCACCGAATCGAATTCTCCCTGAGTCTCGATTCTTCTTGTGCTGCCATGTGGCACCGAAATGCAAGTCTCTCGAAGTCAACCTGCACCTTCTCGAGACCTGCAGTGAACACATTCGGAAGCAACACATTCGGTGGGTTGGGGGCATATCAATCGCCCCACCACCACCTTGCTTCCAACACACGCCACCTCCAACACTCCCCCTTGCACCCAACCCACTAGGTGTGCAAACCAACACGCTCACAGCATGCACGGAATGAATCCTTAGGGAGTGGTTTAGTGAGGAAGTCCGCGGGTTGAGCTTTGGTGCTCACATAAGTGAGTTTGACCTCACCCTTCTCAACC